CCTTCCTCCTGCAGCCTGTTGAGCCATAGCTAAGTGTTCCTCTTATGCCAGTCATGGTGGTTGTAACTGAGAGGGGATTGTGCTCTTGCTGTGAAGAAAAACTGTCTTCTCAGGCTTCTGAATTTCTCTGAGTCTTATTTGGCTCTGACATAAATTTTAAGTGGCAAAGTGTAGTAGGATATTAAATTTTTGTAGTGGTCTCTGAGGTGCTCAGGCAGGGGTTAGGAGGAGTGCTTGGAAAATTAATTCTGTTTTGTTATCAGAGCTAAAGCTTGCAGGGCAGTCTGTGGTTTTTTTCCTATAAAACACTTTATGCCACATTTTTAGGGTTTGCAGATTTTATTAAGAGATTTTTGAAAAATCCAGTGAGTTGGACGTTGTGTGCTGTCATTATAAAAGGGGCAAACTTTTAGAAAAAGACATTTAATGGTTTATGTAACAAGATGCAACTTTGAAGAATGGCCACAGTTAGGCACCTTTGACTTTGTTACTTTCCCAAACTTGGTTGGGACTAGATTTAACATTTTAAAACACATGTAGGGCTCAAATCAGTAGATGAATTGGAAGAGCAAGGGGAAAGGTGCTTGTCTCTTGCCAAAGCATGTCCCATTGTGTGTATTATATTAGGGTTTTGTAGAAGAAAGTTATTACTGCTGCAGCATCCTATTGCTACTGCCAGGATTTTAGGGCAAGGATGAGAATCAGAGTTGGGATACTTGGAATAACTAGGAAGTGGACTCCCTGTCACAAGGCAGTTCCTAAGGAAACACCTGCATAGGCTTTTCAGATCTGTAGGTAGGTCTGTGGGGCTTGGGTTTTGCAAGCGAGGGATCTGAAATTTTGTCACTTGACCTTGCATGATAAAACTATCAACTGGAGCAATGCAGGAAGGGATAATGGTTTAAAGCAATTCTAGAGAGTGAGACAACCCCTTGAGCAGCTTAGGAATGGGTTGGTCTTCACCTCCCTGCTGTGGCAATGGTACTTGGCAGTGTGCCAAGTTCCTTAGCATATTGTGGGGAGGCATTAATTGAATGTGGTCTAGAGCACTGATTGCAGAGTGGTTGAGCCTGGAAGGGACCTCCAGAGGTCATCTGGTCCAATAACACCTCTGCTCAAGCAGGGCCACCTGGAGCCAGTTACTCAGGACTATGTCCAGATGGCTTTTGAGTATCCCCAAGGAGGGAGACTCCACAACCTCCCTGGGCAGCCTGTGCCAGTGCTCAGTAATGCTCGCAGTAAAAAACCTTTCAGGAGGACTCTCCTGTGTTTTGGCGTGTGCCGGTTGCCTCTTTTCCTGTAACTGGGCGTCACGGAAAACAGCCTGGCTCCATCCTCTTTGCACCCTCCTCTCAAGTATTTGTATACATTGATGAGATGTCTCTTGCAGCTGCTGAGTTGACACAGTTTATAGATACTGTTCTCCATAATTTCCAGCTGCCCTGTAAGCAGGATCGGGTTTTAGACCTGCATTTTCAGAAAAGAGGAAGGGGAAGGCTGTAGGATGAGTGATGTGTACATTGCAAACGTCACACATCCATTTAAGAAATACCCTTGGTTGAGATGATTCGTAAGCAATTAATTAAAAAAAAGAATCTATGTTTTTCTCCTGGACTTGCTATCTACAGACTTACCTAAGATTCTGTCACACAGTGTTCTAGGTCTTTCACTCCAGCAATAAGCAATCCTCTCAGACAGTTGCTTACTTTTGATTTTTCTGGTAGTTGATAGGACTTGTGTCATTAAGAAAGAGTGTAATCTCTTTATACTGGCTTAAGCACAAGAGAATATGATTAAAGTCAGTAGGAGAAGCAAATGACAGTGGTGCTGTTATAGCTAGTACAGGCAGATGTAAGGTGGTGAGGATGGGAAGCCATTATTTTTCCCCAGAAAAGCTCTTGGGGTTTTTTGGCAAATAAAATTCAGTTTTAATGGTGAAGTATTATACAGTATATTAGCATTCTTTTAGTGTATTGAGTAAATATGTCACCTCGGTAACAAATTTTAACCACCGTAGTCTGTGGTAAATCCTTTTGGAGATGTGAGGAAGTGTTTTTTGGTCCATTAATGTAACAAGTCTTACCACTACAAACTAAAGTACTGAGGAGCTGTGGTGGTGCAGACTTCCTGACGATTGCTGTAGGGTTCCTTTATTTGTTAAGGAAAAAAAAATGTACATGAGCATTTTTATGAGAGACTCATTAGAATGAGCACAGCAGCAAGAAGATGAGCTGTCATTTATTGTTCCAGCTTACAAATTAAGTCTTTCTTCTACTGATATGTGCAAGCCTAATCTGAGTATCCCTGCTGGCAGAATTGCACGACATTCCACCCTCCTTATCACAGCACTTCTCCCTCTTGTCTGAGTTGTCTAGAGATTAACAAACCCTTATGGTGGATGGGGGGGGGGAGGTGGATAAAGAAAAATGCCTCATTCATAAAAACTTTTAGAGCTGATTAAAATTGAGCTGTATCCTACTGACTGACACCAAAAGGATATAGTATTTAGAAAATCTAAAAGCAGAGTGAAATCTTAAAGGAAAAAATGCTTGTTCTGTATCTCTATGGCCAACTAGTGTCTGAAGTGGTAATTACTTTGATATATGATTATAGCTATGTTGAAGTCTGGGGGGGTTAATGGGCTTCTGCTATCTGAAGAAACACTTTAAATGAGATACTTATGGCTATACTGGGTTGAAGAGGGCTGCTAAAAACCCTGCTTACAAGCCTTACTACTACTTGGAATGACTCTTACTGCAACGCCTCTTAGTCAAGCTTTTCTTGCCTCCAGAGTATGATACTATCAGTAGAACGAGTTGTTTTAGGGCTGCAATGCATTTCCCATGCTCTGTTCTTTCTTTATGACCTTGAACAAAACTTTGTACTCTTGATACCTCTTCAGATGCTTCTCGTGAAGATGATTGGGTGCACATGGAGGACTAGGCAGTGGGTGTGCCCAGGAGCTTTGCTATGCTCATTCCTGCAACCTGAACTTCAGCAGTATGAAAGAAGCCTGATCTACAAAGGCTGTGTGGTAGCATGGCTCACAGGAGAGGAAAAAAAAGAGATGGGGGAAGGAGGAGATGACCCTCTTCACCTGCTGTCTTTTGCGGAGAGCAATGTCTTTGATATCTTTCATTGCCAGGCAGTTTATCCTTCATCTGGCTGATGATTCTCCTCAACACAGCAGGATTTACAGTAGAGCTCTCATGGTCTGCTGCTGTGATAGATGGCACCAGTAGATTTTTGTGTCTTTGTAGTTAGATAACCCCTTGATAATGTGGACAGGAAGGAGGCAAGAAGTATATCTTGTCCTTGTTAGTAATAAATTTAAAATCCCCACTTGGAGTCTGTTTTGCCCATGATGGTGAGCAGTAAGTGACCTCTCCCTTATCTCAACTCATGAATCCTTGGTTGTAGTTTTCTCTCCTCTATCCAGTTGCAGAGGTGGGGGGGAGAGAGTGGCTTTAGTGGGTACCTGGCATTCAGCCAGGGTCAACCCACTACAGCTGGCTAAGCCATCTCTGCTCAGTTGTTTCACCTGGTCAAACCATGTTTTTGGTAACTGTCTACTGTTGCTGCTGTCACATTTGGGATTGAGTTGCGTAGTGTTCATCACAAGCAGTTAAGATGTAGGTAAAATTAAATGCTCTTGGAAAGGTAAATAGATATTGCTGTGTGCCAAACAGCAAGGTAACCAGCTCTAAACACTTAAGAAACTTTCTTGGGGAAAGGTTTGTTCTTTCCTGTCCCTGTGTATGAAGGTTCAGCTGCCCTCTCAGGAGAAGGGGCATTCCCGTGGCCACTGTGCTCCCCCACAGCCTCAGGAATGGGACTGGGATGTGGCCGGCTGGGGCTGCTGGAGCAGTGCGACTTGTGGGCGTGCAGCACTGCCCCTCCCCAGGGAGGAAGGGAAGGGAGTGTGTGCCGGTGGGTTCATCATCTGCAGGAAAAAAAAGAAAACAAGTAGAGCTGTATTTATTCACTGGTGTTGAACAAGCTGCTTGTTAGAAGCAGCCTATTTAACTGTTGCAGCTCTAAGCATTTTCTGTCAGCCGTGTGATCACTTTGGTGTTTAGACTTGATGGGGGCAAAACTGGTGTCTTGCAGAAGGCTCTGTACTATCTTCTGGAGAAAGCTTTCAAATGTAGCTGACCACTGTAATGTATTCTGAAGCCCTGAAAAATAACTATTTAGCAGAAATCTTTATTAAAAAAACCCAAAGGACCAGAATAAATGAGCTTTCTTTCAGAAGAGATCTCTTAGTAGAGTTTAAAAAAAAAAAGAAATTAACTCCTTTACATGCTAAGAGAAATGGTCTTTGACTGTGGTGTCAGTTCCTGAGAAAGCCACCCCCCAAAAGCCAGGCTATGTGTGTGGCTGCTTGCTATCAAATTTCTTTGCTTCAGTAAACTGATGTCTTACTTTCTGTCTTCCTGTAAGATTCCTGAAGTAGTGCTATATCCACACCTAATTGTTGGATTAATATAACACCTGGGCTATCCAACATGGATCTGGGTGGGTCTGAAGGGCTGGGACCAGTGGAGGTCTTTGGCTGGAACAGGTGACTAAGACCAAGTAGTTCTAACCAAGGGATGATGTCAAATGGGATTATACATCTGTATGGGTGATGTCAGATGAGGCTGCAAATCTACAAAGGCACTTGACTTTAATGCCTGTTTGCTGAGTAAGTAACTCTTTTCTTTGACCTCTACAGGACAGCTCTGGCTTCCCATCTGACACTGAAAATTCAATCATGTGCAAAAGAAACATGCTCTGTCAGTGTATCAGACTAGAGGTGGATTGATGGTGGTTTCTTTTGTTCTGTTAAAAATAGCTTCTGCACACAGCTGTGCGTCTGGGAAGCTGGAGCATCACTTTGAGGAATACATGTGGCATTTTGTCTTTGCCAGACTGCTCTATCATAAATAAAACCGGAGCTGGACTTTATTTCTCTACATTGTTCCAGGTACTTGCTAATACCTTCCATAACTTCTAATGGTTCTCTGGATTGAAAATGATTACGGAACCTATCAGAAGCTGTAAGAGAAAAAGGAATCTATATTGGAAGGCAAGATCTGAATCTTTCCAACTCCACAGCAGCTCTGATCCAAATCTTAACTTACTAGCCCCAGCCCAATAAATAGTTTGTTCTTTTCTGCACAATGTACTATTGTAAGGCTGCCCAGAACATGAAGGTATAACTTTTCACTTAAAAAAAAAAAATACAAGCCTCCTCAGCAGCTGCAGTTAGCCATTATGTGTATCCTTAAACTGAAAGGGAGCATCTTCCAGCTGGAGGGTGGTGAAGGCACAAGGTGTGATTCTTGAGGATATCCTGTGCAGGGTTAAGATTTGGACTTGATGACCCTTGTAGGTCCCTTCCAACTCAGAATATTTTGTGATTCTGTGAAGAAGTGTTACTTCTGTAGAGCTTGCACTGGTGTCTGCTTCAAAGGTTTTATTTTTAGCAAAATTTTATTGGCTTGATGTGTAGGGAAAATAGAGACAACATATTAGCAAAATAATTCCTATACCAGTGCAACCTGTCGTTCCACAGAAAGGCCTTCTAATTAAAGCTCCAGTGCTTTCTTTCCAAGATATACAGCTGTGTTTCTTTCCCTTATGAGCCATCAAGAGTGAAACAGCCATCTACAATCTTTAAATTATTATTCTGAAACAAAAAGATTTCAGAGAAGGTACGTGAGCCTAGTCTGTATCCCTGGAAGGTACGGCTACCCCAGGTTGTTGTGCATGTAGTGGACCCCACCAAGTAATGGCTTTCTGCCTCTGCTTCTCTTGTTGCATAGCAATTCCACAATCCTCTTCCAGCAATTGTTAATTCCTTTCTCGTTTTTTCATGACCAATTTAGGCCAATTTGTTTTCTTGCAAGCATCAACCTTTACCAATACATTAAGAGGGGAAATAATGCCTAAAACTAGACAGCAGTCAAATTTCCCCCTCTGCTCTCATTTAGACAAGTGAAGTCCTTTTAGTCTTCTGTCATACTGTGGGTTAGCTATACCTGTGACCATCTGGGTTTTATGACACTGTTTTCTTGATCCCAAAATTTATGGCCAGAAGAAGTAGGTTTTGCATCTGTCAGAAGTAGCACTGAAGAACCTTTAAGCTGGCCCTTAGGACATTAACTCCTGTTTGTGAGGCAGGTTGCTTAGACTTGTTCTGTTGCTCTCTACTCTTTCCTTTAGACAGGCCCTCAGCTTCATTAGAATAGTACAGACATAAAGAAAATGTTAACAGAACAACTGTTACTACAAATTACTGTGTCCAGACACCGGTAGTTAAAAAATTCACCTTGCTGCTATCTACTGCCCTAGCATTGCTGCTTCTACTGTGTTTAACTCTTGGTCACTTGACAAAAGCAAGTTGCACTTTCCCTCCCTCAGACTGCTGACTTTAAAGAATTTGCTGTAACTACTCAGTCCCTTGCTGAGTAGTGAGCCCCTTCCCTTTTCACTCAGAGGAAATTTATCTCAGTTTTTTGATGTTCAAATCTAGAAACCTCTTTATCAGTCTGTGTAAAGTAAAAACAAGTAAAGAAGCAAAGGATGAAAATCTGCTTTTCCTCACTGTAGGTCACTACTGTCAGATCTTTGCATCACTGGTGCAGTACAATGGCAGGGGGGCTGGATCATCCTTACATGGGAACTCTGGCTTTTCACTGCACTCTTGTACAGAAGTGATGCCATTGAGCCCAGAATCCTTTTACTCTTTGCACAACATAATTCCAGGGAAACTTTTCCCTCTCCTGTTTATGAGTAGTGTTTCCTTCTTGGTGCAGTGTGTGGAATGGTGTCTACAGCATTAATGCTTCTCTTCTGCAATGCAGTGTTTTATTCAAGAGTTGGAACTGAGGTGGGACAGAGGCAGTATCTGCTGCTCTCCCCTCTTTTCCACCCTCTGCCTTAGTGTCACTCAGAGATGGGCTTTGCTGCTGCTCGGGACATGTCCTGTCTGGGACCAAAAAGTCAGTCAAAGCCAGGGGGAGAGAAAGTAACAAAGCACTGAGTTTGCTAACTCTTTCATCTGGTGATCAATAGTGACTTTTATCAGGGACCTGCATCTCTTAATTTCTCTGATACCAAATGCAGTCTGTGAGCTTGAGGCAGGCTGTCTGCATTTCCTCTATTTAGGATGCCTTGCGAGTGCCTCTGACCATATAAAGTTAAGTGAACCTGTGTCTGGTGATGTGATCTAGCCTACAGCATGTCCCAAGTTCCTGATCCCTGGGGATGAGAAAGGACCATATGTCTGCACTGTGTCACTTCTGAATAACTGCATTGGGGAGGGCTGACATCCAGCAATTACAGCTTCAAAATCAATACATGGAGGATGGCACAGGTTAAAACAGGAGCAGATGCCTCAGCATCTATAACATACATGCCACGCAGCATGTATGTGTCTGTATTGGTTATATAATGCACCAAAAACCCAGATGCTTTAGCAGGCACGATTCTTCCACAAATTCTAATCCTGGAGGGGAGGCAGGACACAGGAAGGAACAATATGATGCTAATGTGCTTTCCTGTGGGCATTACAAAATACAGGGGTTCTTTTGCAGGAGTTTGTATCTATGCAAGGAGGAAGGGTTTCAAGGGAGGAACAAGGACTAGGGACCCAGATTAAAAAGCTTATTGCGGGAGTGCTAAACAGGAGATGAAAGTAGACTCACCCGAACTGTGGGACATATTTCTCTGTGTCTGCGTTGTGGCCAAGAAGGAGCTGGTACCTAAGATGCAGAGCAGAGACTGTGCTTGCCACATCTCCAAGATGCAGCAAGGCGTGGAGGCACGCAGAATTTTGTGTTCTAACTTTGATCAGCAATGGCCCTTTAAGGCTGAGCAAGGCATGCAGCATGGACACTGCCCAGTCCAAACCCAGCAGCCACGTGAACTCTCCCCAGGTGGGCAGTGCCAGGCTGGCACAGCAAAACCTCCCTCCCCTGCCCTGATGACAGAGGGAATCTGATTGAACTTGCTGGCTCCCACTCACTCTGCCCCCATTTTCCTCAGGACAAATGAGAAGAACCTGTCTCCAAGTGCAAGATTTTGGGAATATGTGTCAGAGATGCCTGAAAGTAAAACATCCATCTTGCCCTAATTTCTGCATGAAGTGCTGCAATGTCAAGTGAAATAACCTTCCAAGCTGGCTCTGATGCAGAGGTATTTTGGCTTATGTTATTCCTGAGAGCTTTCTCTCTGATGAGCTCTTTCTGCCTCTCTGTGTTTCTGATGTCTGACTCTCTTCACTCGTTTTTTCCCTTGGGCTGGGATGTGTGCTGTTTGTAATGCATCAAGAAGTAATACGCGATGAGGAAACTCTCATCATCTGTGCATCAGGGAGAGAATTACTGACTGAGTGCTGAGCAGTCAAGTTATTGATTCAAACCAAAGCCCAGTCTCTCTGTCTGCTGGGCTGGTTACGTCCTTCTGGTTCATTGCATTTAATCGGATTCCCTGAGCTGCCACACAGAAGGGGAGAGTTAGAAGCAGATTCATCTATAATGTTCTCTTCAAAATCCAGTTCGGTATCCCCTTCTCCGTCCATGGAACAGGCAGATTCAGATGCTCTGGACATCAGCACCAAAGTGCAGCTGTATGGCGTGCTCTGGAAGAGACCCTTTGGGAGGCAGTCAGCCAAATGGTCCAGGAGGTAAGCCACAGTTGCTGAGGGATGCTTGGGTAAAATACAAAACCTAAGGGTTGTGGGATAAGTTAGAGTCTGAGTGTGGCTAGCCAGGCAGAGGCTAGGGCTAAAACTGTGGGCATAGCTTCCCTCCTGTTCTGCATCGGCTTTACACACGTGGTACCCCATTGTTCTCCCTAATCTGTCCAGACCTTGTGCTATGTGCGCTTCAGGGAATAGGGACTAGCTGCCTCCTCTGGATAATTATGATAGTTGCACAAAAGAGGAAGAGTCAGCTCATATATTTTGCCCCTAAACTGCTTGACTTTGTTCTTTAGCACTCATTAAAGCTTTGAGTCTTTGGGTGTGAGATGGCTAGGCTGAACTGACTGTGCATGTGAGTCTGTATGTGTGTGTGTATGGTCTGCAGGGGTTTGTGGACCAGCATCAGAACGGCTATGCTGCCTTATAGTGATGGCACACTTGGAACAGCACATGAAGACTCTTCCCTGGGAAGAAAGTGGCACTGCAGTCTCTTCCATATGGTGTTAGAGAGTTGTAAGCTGCTGTGCGTTGTCTGCCAGCAGCCCAGAAGTTTGGAGCTGGAAAGCATTTGCTATAACCTTTTACCAAGGATAGAATTATGTTCTGTAATACTGAAGTGATGAGTCAGTTTTAAGTTTAGAGTTGGTGTATTTCTCTATGTGAATCACTGAATCTCTGGTACTTACCTTTTGTGGTTAAGTACTTACTCTTTGCTGCAGTGTGCAGTTTGGACACAGACAATCCATTTCTAAAGCCAGCTTTCCCAGTTTTGCTCTGTGTAGTAACCACAGTGCTGTCCAGTCTAAACCTGTGAAGATGGCATAGTCTGGAAAATAGTTAAACATTCCTTGGGAAGCAGTTTTATGTTTGTAGCCATCTTTTACCTGTGTGCAGGTTTTATTCCCTTCCCTTCCTCCCCCCAGTGGCCTATTTTCATCCAGGAATGAATTTGTGCTGATGCTCCTACTCGGTTCCCAAATATTGATATTTAAATGAATTATGTCTGGAAACTAAAGTGACTGTGTTACGGAAAAGAAGTGGACAGAATAACAGAGGGGAACATAATTTGCCATGGAGGAGACATTCTTAAAAGGCTTTCTTCCTAATAAAACTTCCTTGCAGGCAAATGGCCCATTTCTGCTCTCTGTCATTATTTATTTAGTGCCGCTCTATTCCTAGAAGTCACCCCCATCTTTGGCAAGTGGTAAATATTTTAGTGCTAGCAAGTGGGAAGAGATGGGGAGGTGATGTGGGGCAGGCATGATATGGAAGATAAGTTGCAAGCACAGCAGCAGAGGTCCTGGGGGACCAGACACAGGTCAGTGAGAGGTGAGCACAGGGAATCTGTAGGGTTTGTAAGGAAGTGAGTTCTGGAGTTAAAAGACTGGGACAGTAGGAACAATATGTTTGGGTGTTTTTTTATCATGGGAGAGACTTGCTTTTAAATAAAGTACCCTTACATGTTATTATAAGTCAATCATTATGTGGGGATAAGGATCAATTCACCATTCCCCCTACTTATCCCCCCATTCCCAGCAACACGTAGCTGGTCAAAGGCTTTTTTTTTTTTTTTTATTGAATGAAGAAGAAATGTTTCCCACTCCAGTTAAATAAAGAAAAAAAATTTGACTTTTGCTCGATCTAGTTGAGGATCTGATCTCTGAGCAATGTAGATTTTGCCCTGACATCTTGGACTGGACAACAGTCTTGGTCCCAAGGAAAATCTTTCCAAGATACGGGATATAAACCAGCTTATAAGGGGAGGATTGATCTCATCAGGCCATCAGCCATGAAGACAGGTTTACATGGCTGTTGGGAGATGCATAAAATTTACTGGCTTGATCCCATTCATTTGGCTGTAGCAACAGTGCTTCTGGAGACACATGTGTTTAAGGGAAAGATGGAGTCTGACTAGATTATGGATCAAGGTAAAAAAGTCCAGGCATGGTGTCCAGTGCTTTGAAATCCCAAGGCTGGGAATTTTGCAGCAGTAGAAGTTATGCTGGGAAAAGGGAGGTATAGCAGAGTCTTGTTTCAGTCAAATGGCACCTTCAGTCAAATGTGAGGACAGCAAAACTTGACATGAGGCAGCTGTCTGGAGCACCTTCTGTCCTTTCACACAATGGTCTGTTCTGAAGCCTAAGTATTTGCATGCCTGTCACACCAGGTACTATCCTAGAGCAGGCTGGGTGCTTCTGACACTGGGTCAGTGTGGCTGTGTTTATCTCCCAGGGCTGACATCTGAGCATGCTGCCTTCCAGAGCTTGATTTTGAGATGCCATTACCACTATCATAGTACCTGTCTCTCCAAGATAAGAAACACTATCCCTAATGTGAATTTTCTTTCCCTGTAAAATAATATCCTTTCAACAGGAAAAGCAGCTATCTTCTGAGTTTACTAATGTTTTTGACCAGTCTAAGCCTGGCTTCTTGCTGGAATGGCTTTGGCAAATAATATTCTCAGCCCTTGATGTATGGTCCTCTTCCAACCAAACTGCACCCCATTCTTCCTTTCAACAAATAGCAAGCAATTTATTTTCTCCTACTGCAAAAGTTGTAATTACGAAACTGATAATGGCATCAGCCTGTTGTGGAAACTGCAGTGAAATGCACAATGTGTGTACCTGCCCTGGATGTGATATGAATAGGGTACTGTAGCTTTCCAGGAAGGAAGTGGCACATTCTTCTCTGCTATAATAATCCCAGTCCCATACAGAATGTCAGGCTCTAAACTGTCTGTCACCATGTAGGTGGGAGACTTGGAGGCTCAGTGAGACAGTTCCAGGAGGGGGCATCTGCTCTGTGATCAGTCAGAAAAGCAAGGTGGAACGTGAGAAATTGAAAACAGGAGAGAACAAAACACAAAATGTTCCTATATTTCTGAGTAAATCCATCAGGGATGACAGGTTGCTGCTGGAAGGAGGAAAACATAGCACAGTTAATAGAGAGATTTCATCTTCTCTTGAACCGGTCCTGGCTGTGGCATTGCAAAGTATGCATGTAATCTTATTTTCCACAGTGACTACTAACAGTCATTGCATGTGGTCACGGAACAGATGGAAAGGATAATTGTTTAGGACTGCTTTCTGCTCAAAAAAAAAAAAAAACTCTGAAAAACACACAGCCACCGAGAAGTGTGTGTATGCAACACAGGGGCAGCAGGAGCTGCCGAGACAGTGCGGCTGCGAGTCCAGCACACCATGTGGTTCCCTCTCGTCCTTGTAAACTTCCCACTTGGCTGCTTCCTGTCGGGAAGCATACAGCTCTTCCCGCTCCCTGCCTGGCTGGGCGTTGCTCCTGCTGCCGGGCGCCAGAGCAGGAGGCAGGAAAGCAAGCGTAAAGCTCCCAGGAGAGAGGAAGAGTGAGGGGCGGGTACTGCGACCTCTGAGCTGATATGCTAATAAAGAACATTTGCCCGTCGGTTTCCTGAGCTGTCCCTAGGGATACAGAACTGAGCTGATCTAGCAACTGGGATTCACTGCCTGTGCTCCTGGACTAGTGCCCAGAAAAACACCATTGGAATGAAGGACCAAGGAGACTGCTGCAGTTTTATACTGTAAATACTTCATGCGGGCTGTTGTCACATCAAAAACTTTTACAAATATTAGCTAATTAATCTCATTAGCCCTCTGTGATGCAAAGGAAGCACTGTATTCTCAGAGATCAGGTATCTCTACTTGTCCAGTATAGAGCTGTTTTTTCTAATCCTGGCCGGATCATGGCTCTGGCTTTACCTCCAAGTTATGCAGATTGTTACTGTTCCTCTGCTACTCCAGTTTAATTACACTGTGGTTTCAGTGGTTTCTTAGTACAGGACCCAGCAGCAGGGATGGGTGCCTCAAAGCAGTTGACCTCATGTGAATGGCTCTTGTATTACTTGTGCTGCCTGTGGAGTGTGGGTGGCTGTCCCAGGCCATCTCACCACTCACTGCTGCTCTCCGGGCTTTTTGAACTCTGCTCTGTTTTTAAATCACTTATTTATCTTGGTTTCTTGTTTGTATTCAAAATCTTCCCCTGCCTTTCCAGCGCTCCCTTTTCTTATGTTCTCATGCTGCCATATCTGTGCCTACTTTAGATATCTGTTCAGTGTCTCTATCCTCCCAGTCACAGTCCTAACTGGGTGTTTCTTCCCATTCTCCCTTGGCCATCTTTCCCCTTTCTGCTCTTGCTCACCTAGCTGCTGCTTTAGTCTTCAGCTTGCTCTTGAGTCTTATAACTCTCTCCCCTGATTCTTTACTTCATCCCCATTTTCACTGTACTGCATCAACTGTCCCTGTATTGTTGTTTGGAAACTTTGTCCTGAAGGTCAGTTAAAGTGATGAACTTGGTTGCTTAGGTGTTGCCTTCCAGGTAAGGATATATAGATGAGGGAATGTGATCTGAACATAAATACATTATGTCCAGAAGCTAACCAGATTTTCAATGTTTACCTTCATTACTTGCACTGGGATTTTGTTCTTATTACTTTTTAAACCCTTATTTTGTACGTTTTCATTCCAAATTTCCCCATCTGTGAGGTCAGGGATCTAAAAGTTCATTAATCTGTGAGAGACATATCAATTCTCAGAGATTTGTGCTATGTTTTGTTCTTGTTTTTGTTTTGATTTTGGTTTCCACTGGAGCATAATCTATATTATGAGGATTAGCGGCACTGAGCAACAAAAAGTATGTATCAAACTAAAGCCTCTCTTTAACTGGGGGTTAAAATTTAGATTAAAAATCATGGAGTTAAAGATCAGTATGTTTACCTGTCTTGCAACTATTTCTTGAGGTTATTCAGACTGAAAAGGGTGTTGAAAATGATGAATAGACTTTCTCCATTTCATGTGTGGTGTTGACTTTTATTCCTTAGGTTCATATTTCTGCATACAGTAGCTGATTAACTCACTGGACCAAGCACAGGAGCACTGGCCAGGCAGGATTGTTTTTTTAAGATGTTATTTCTGTATTTATTGTGCAGATAAGGTAACATTTCCCTCTAAAAAATCAAATTCTCCTTGAACTAAGCATTAGAGACATAACATAAGAAAACTTTTTTATAGAGTTAATGATCAGAGGTGGGAGGAAAAATGAATCAGGAAGGCTGCTGTTCACAGAAGTGACATGGACAGGAGGAACCAGAAACAAGCCTTGTGTGCTCTGTGGAGGTTTCTCTGATATCTGCCTTGGCCAGGGTCAGCTCTGAGCCTGCTGCAGAGGTCATGGCTGCCTTTGCCATTAGTGCAGATATATCTGAAAATCCCAGTCCTTGTTTCACACAGAGGTGAGACCGTGATGAATCCACTGTATCAGTAATGTGTCAGAGATGTGCCTAATGCATCTGCTAAATGGGCTGATATCTCAAAGTTGTATGGACAGCCACCACAGGTAGGGTCACACCTGGCTTTCCCAACTGAGGGAATATTAGATGCAGCTTCTCTGAGAGTTGCACTGGAACATGCACGAGTTCGGGCTGGAAGGGAGATGGTCACCCAGGTGAAAGGTGAATAGTAATTTCTCCTACTCAGATCACCTGCTGGACAGCTACACTGTGAATGAGCAGCTTTTTAGTCCTCTACCAACTAAATAAGCTCAATGCAGAAGAGTGATTTTTGCACTGAGTTGTGCTGTTCTACTTAGAGCAGTTTTGCCAGGCTGTGGTCAGGAACAAGACGTGAGGTTGGGCAGTCAACCATGATGTTCCCAGAGTATCAAATGAGGAGACAGTGTCCTGCTGAGGAAGCAAGCTAGCTGCTTCTCCCCGCCTCTGATGCCAACATGAACGGGTATAGATGAGCGGGCAAGGAGAGGAAAAAATTTGGGACACAGTAACTGCTGCTGGTGTTTGTATGTTCTGAAGATTTCTAGATGTAAATATGTTCAATGACTGTCACTTTTACACATTTTGGAGAACTTGCAAAGTAGGTCCAGAGCTTGAGTTTGCTAAAGTCATTCAGAAGTTTAGCTTTGTTCTGAGTTTTTTGGTTGCTCTGAGAGCCCCATGCACACATATTTCCATGGCATTTGGCAATTTCATCTGTGTTGCCAAACCCACAGCAGAAAAGCAAGAGATAGAAGCTGATGGAAGTGGTAAAGCTTTTGCCCAAGTATAATTGTAATAATTATTGTTAATAATTATTTACATAGTTTTATTATTATAATATTCTCTGCCAGCTTTGACTTCTTTCTTTAGCTTTAGGAGCTAAACTGCTAAACTAAATTGCTGTGCTCATCTGTACTGGAGGCAGTGCTTGGCTACATCTGACAGCCCATCCACTTCAGGAGAAGACTGCGATGGGATGGACATGTGAAGGCATTAGAACTGTCCTTGTGGATCAATCCTCTGAGCCTGTAGCCCATCACTGATGGTGGCTTCAGGAAAAGGTGCAGGAATGCTCAGGCTGCAGAACTGGACAGCACTACCTGTAGAAGTCTCCTTCTGATCCCTCCCAGAAGCTGGAGGGTTTTCTGAGAATGTTCTTTTTATTCAAAGAAATGCCTTATCCTTTCCAGTTTCCTCATGATCTCTTGTCCTTGGGACAAATGAAAGTGATTTACACATCAGTGTTTTGTGCAGTGTAAAAAGGCATTCTTTAATAATTTTCAGCTTACTGCCTTTCACTTTCTTTCCAGTTCCTCGTTTCTCATGTCAGAAAATATGTATAGAACAGTGCATCATATTTTCTTTGTCATTTACTCTTTTGAAACCTCCCTACTAAACTTGTCCCCATTTTTTATTCAGCTGCTCTTCAGAATTTTTGAGTGCTGCAGAGATTTAGACCAAATTGAAACTAAGCCATATATCTCTCACCTGTACCACTGCCTGCAGAGTAAATGCAACCTCGATTTTTGAAGAGAGGAGGGACTCTCCCAGGGGCATTTTGAAAATCCAAAGAAGTTAAAAGTGGAACTCCTTTAATCATAATTTTGAGGGCATGCTCCAGTAAATTAGAGGCTCGGTTTACAGAAATTGTGATATTTTGTGGCTACTATACAGTGATCATCAGAGCATACCTAAGGCTAACTGAGCAGAGCAAGGCATATCAGCTAATTGAACAGAACAAGGCATAATTTAACATTACACATATGAGAAAAAAATATTCAATTTCCTTTGTAGTTATGAAGGTCAATGACAGAAGACTTTGCCAGGAGCTCTGCTTAGAAATATCTCTAAAATTTATTTCTGCTCCTGAGTGCTCTGGTGGCCAATTTTTTGCAGATGCTAGCGTGTGACTCTCCCTGCCATATGACTCAGTGTTAGAGTGAAAACACTTCCCTTCTGTCTTATTACAAGATGGGAGGAAAGAGGGTGGCAGGGGACAGATTGCAAAAATAATCATTTAGTTGGTTTTAGCCCATGTGTGAGACCCTTAAAAAAAAGAGCAGCTCTCTTCCAATAGGTTGAATCCAACCTACATGGGCTAGATAGAGCACAAACAGCTAGAGGTGCCAAAAATCTTTGGTCCTGTCTTGGACAGAGAGTGCTGTGAGTAAATGGTGTATGGTTTGCCTTCAACACTGGTGCGTGCATGCTGTGGTGGTAAACTGTAAGCACAAAGTGGTGGTAAACTGTAAGCACAAAGTACTTAAACTTGATGTCTGGTGTTAAGCACTAGTTCTTGACTATAAGCACAAGTGAGGCACCTCACCTGAGATGGAAGTAGTAAACTCTTCTGCTCAGAAAGTAGCTTTAGTTAGGTGGAGATTTTCTCATGCTGTTAACCACAACCTCTGTTTTAGCAAAATTTATTTCCTTTCTCTGTCTTAAAGGTTCTTCATAATTAAGGAAAGTTTTCTGCTTTACTATGCTGAGAGTGAGAAGAAGAGTTTTGAAAGCAATAAATACTTCAATATCCACCCCAAGGTGAGCAGCATTTGCACAGGGAGGGGGTTATTCTCTTTCTATCTCCCCCTCCCCTTCCTCCATGGACCCAGAAAGTGAAGAAGAGGTAAGTCACAGACTTCACCCAGACCCAGGGAAGCCTCAAAAAAGAAAGAATCATGTCAGTACCTTTTCAAGATACTTAATGATTCAGCAGTTACATGACTTCCGTATCTTTTACCTAACAGATGTATCCCCTTGTTTTCATGATCTCCTAAACAACTAATCTTATGGCTGTAAAAATACTGACAAAAGCTGGCAGCTTTGTTTGCTGCTTATTCCTAACCTGTACTTGCACTCATAAGCATCTGATAACCCACATACCTTCAGTTCTTAGGAGTGGCCTCCATAGCTCTGCTGCCTGGAGATCTCACACAGGGGCCTTGGGCTCTGAGTCTGCTTTTGTCCTCTGTAGTCACTGGAGGCTGATGAAGCACACATGCTTCCACAGGTGCTGATTTCACACATCCTGATTAGCAGCAGCCAGCTGCCCATCCGCCCCCACACAGCACATGTGGGGTGTTGACCTACCAGTGGTGACTGCAATGGATGCACAGCATCTCTCATGATACCGCACTGTGAACCTGCAAAATTCGCCCCTGTTGGGAGATCACCTCCTCCTTGATAACAGAGTTCCTGCTTCCGTGTTCTAGCTAGCAGTCTTCTCTCTGTGATGAATACAGGACTGCCATCTTCACCCCCTTTCAGATACCAGTTGGGGGGTTTCCTGGTGGTGGTGGGAATCCTTCTGCTTTTCAGAAACTGTGTGTATTGCCCCTCCTGGTGTAGCCAAGGAAGGGCAGGGCTCCACAAGTGACCAAGGGTGAAAGTTCAGCTCCTGGTTAGTTAATAATTATACTTGATTTTACTGACTGATTGGAGTGCTCTGGTTTATCCCTAGGGTGTCATACCCCTGGGAGGCTGCATCGTGGAGCCCAAAGAAGAGGCCAACATGCCTTATGCCATAAAAATCTCTCATGAAGACTTCCATGTAAGTAGATTTCTTTTCTTCTAAAAAACCCCAAACACCTCAAAACATGTTAATGCCGATGAGCAGAGCTAGACTGGCAGTCTTTTCCCTCCCCACCAAGGTATGCCTACCCTCTCTGGGTAGACTATCCTGAGAGAGAGGGTGGCTTAGCATCTCAAGTTCCCTCAAGTTTTTGCTGCTGCTGCTTTGACAACCAACAAGAAAACTTGCACTTTCTGACACCAGGTTTTATGCTACTAGCAGACCAGTAGACAGATACTCAGGAGCCCTAGAGCTCATGTTGCCCTATCATTTTATTCCTGCCACGACTGTTTGCCATATGCACACTTTCCAATGTGTGGTAGACCTGGGTCATATTTGCTACCATGTGATGCTTCCTGTGGAGGTGGAAGACTGTGGTGGGCTTTCCTCCCTCCACAGCTGTGCTATCTGTGTTCAGTTCATGCCCTGAGTGCACAGAGGTGCATAAGGCACCAGCCTCTCTAACCTGGGTTTTTTCTCCCCTCCCCTCCCCTCTTCCAGGGTAACATTGTTCTAGCAGCTGAATCAGAGTTTGAGCAGGCTCAGTGGCTGGAGATGCTACAGGAGTCTGGAAAAGTGTAAGCTTCTTTCTATTCCTTATTCAGTTTAATCTATTCTGTAGATGTGTAAAGGATAAAGAGGAAGAAGCCTGACTAGAAGAACTATGGGGAGTCAGACAAGCTCCTCAAAACTAGTAAGAGCTTCACTTGTCTCTTGGACCTATCCTTTCCCTAAATGGGAATGCTCTAAAGCTGACACAAAGCTTCCCACCTTGGTAGGCAGTGTGGTGTGCAGTATGGCTCTTTGCTCCCAACCCCAGGCTGTCATCTGTCAAATGCTGAGGTAATGAGTGCCCTCTGCTGTCCCTCTCTCTTACCTCTGAAAGATGGGACCTGGGCCTGAATGGGAGCCCTTCTGGTCCATTCCGTGTGGGTAGCAAGGTCTGTGGGCTTGACAAGGGTGAGGGTTAGAAAAACTTCCCTGTTTGAATTTGGGGTAAAGTACGAGCAGAACAGGCAAGGCACAAAGCTTGTGAGCAGCTGTCCATGTGGCTCTACATTCTGCTGGGGGCAAGGACCTCACCAGCACAGTACTGGTCATGCCGAGATGTCAGTAACAGCCTCGGAGAAATTGTGTGTCCTTAGAGTGTGCATCCCTTCTGCTCAGATCTCAGGGTGCTCAGGCCACCCATCAGCAGGATTTGGCCTCTCAAGACATTTAATTCTGAAATGCAGAGGCAGGTTAAATCCCAGGAGAGGAGGTGTTGGCAAAGCATTTCCAGCCCACCTACAGGGGTGAGAGGGTTTGACTGCTGTATGCATACAATACTGAGCTCACAGTCTACTGAGAATGCTGGAGAAAGATTTGCAGTTTGTTGGCCTCCATTTCTGCAATTCCTCAGCACCCAGGAGCTTGGCAGTGCAAGGAGCAGCTGTCTTGCAAAACCAGAGCAGGCTCCTTCTAAACCTCAGCTGGTGCAGAAGACATAACACTTAAACAGGGATTTGACTTTCCCAAACCAGGTATAGAAACTTCCCAAGTAGAGCAGAGCCTACTACTCACCTGCAAGGCTTAAAGCAATGAGCGCTTTGGTCTGCCCTTCCTGGCTGCATTACAGTGTGTGTATGTGGTCTCTTGTCACTATAGGGACAGATGATGTTCTGTTTGTAATACCAGTGTGTACATGGTAAAGACAGTATCTCAGTTCATTTCAATGTTGTGAGGCTCAACATGTTAATTTGTATTAATGAGGAACCAATTTTATGGTTGATCAGCACAAGCCAAACTCTGTGCTACTGCAGTGTGCCTGGCTTGGGTGCTGGGGCAAGCTGTTACCCCCACAGTAGTGTATGAACTGCAACACAAAGCTGTCCATTAAAGTTTCATGGGAGCAGGAGTCCCATGGGACACAAGACCCAAGGCAGAAGTCTGTCACCCACTCAGCACAAGCAGACTTGACCACTGCAGGGAAGAAGAGGCACAGATTTAGCCTTTGAGCAATCTGGAGTTTTTTATTCAGTTAGCACAGGCCTGCATTTCCCTTCACCAGTGTTAAGCTAAATTATTGCCAAGGCCAGGGGCAATAATTTGGGACCAAATTCATCTTTCAGGTGTGTACGGGAGGGAAGGAGCATGGCAGCACAGCTCCAGAGGTGTGCTCACAAGCAAGCCCTGCACGACTGTGTATGTCAGAGAGTCAACCTTTTCTTTAGTCCTTGCTTCAATATTCCAGCAGTAGTGTTTAAAAGAGGAGCTAGACAGTGGCTGCTATCATATAGCAGACTACCTGCACCTAGCTGAAAATCTACCCAAGACACCCCCTTCCCTCCCCTCTCTGCTTCTGTTCTTGTATCAGAGGAAAGCAGTGCAGCTCCAGTGCCAGCCTCACCTGTGCTGAGAATAGCCTGCATGTCAGGAAAAGCACAGATTATGTGGTTTTATGCTAGCAGGGTCATGTTGGGAGCTAAGCAGCGGTCAGAAAGGCCAGCATGGGCCAGTAACTTGATCTGCGATGAACAGGAAAGCTAAAAGGATACAGATGAAATATTCTAGACAACCTGTTTGAGTGCCCTGTTGTTCCTAGATTGAGATTGCACTGCCAGTGGCACTGCAGCACTTAGTTGTAGTCATCCTGCAGTCTCCCTTATTATTTAAAACCAACCAAAGGAAAAAAAAACACATAAACATCCTCAAAAACCCCCCTAAAACGAATTCCATAGAGTGAGATACAGAAATAAGGGAAAGAGGAAAAAATTAACCCAATCTGGAAATGTCCTCTCTCCTTTGAGTCAATTTTGTCTGCTGTCTCTTTGGTTGGGTGGGGGGGAGTGTGCCTGCACAACTGCTTATTGCCTCTACCATCATAGTCTGCTCAGTGATATCTTCAGCTCTTCACTCCTTTCCAAGAATCATGGTTTGATAGGGAAATGGCTTATTCAGTGCAGAGGGGAACCGATGGTCTCTCCACCCTTCTAACATGTTGTGGCTTGGACTTACCACACTTGCCAGATCTGGAAAGCTTTTTGGAAACGCACAAAGCCCTGACTCCTAGACCACCAGGCTCTCTTCCCACCCAAAGAGGCTTTTTCTTCTGCTAGTTAGGGAGAGGGGCACACGTAACACTCTCTCCGTCCACAGCTCTCTTCACTGAGCATTCCCTGAATTCGTTAAAAGTAGACTTTGTGGGCAACGGAGGGGGCAAAAATAACATAGAACATATATCCTGTGGACCATGAAGTGCTAAGTGTCTCCAAAAATTGCTTGTGGCTGCTCCCAAGAAAAGTAAAATGCAGGCAAAACTAGAGAGATGTTCCCAGTGCTGCAAAAGGACCGGAACAGACAATGGTTGAGATGCATAACACATGCAGATAACTATACAGCTTTGGGGGTTCTTTTCTTAGTAACCTTTGAGTTACAGACAGGGAAACATCTTGTTAGGCTGGGGAAGGGAAAGGGCCCTGGAAACATGAATCTAATAAACAGACACCTCAAAGGCTACAGCTGTTTTGAAACTCTCCATGTAATCATATGATAAACTCTGTCGTCCCCCCCACTCCCCTCTTGAGATCTTTTGCTGTTGGCTTCTCTGGGATCATATTCATCTTGTATGAGAGAAGGTTAGTGAAAAAACATATTTGCACCCACATGTTTTCCCTCAAGATGAAGATACCTACCTGTGGGCAAAACAGCACCTTTTTAATTAGTGTTCTAATTTCCTCTGCACTTTAGAATGATCCTCATCAGCTGAAAAGAAGCACAGCTATCTGCAAGGAGCACAAGACAGTGCTTGGGCTGCTGGAGCTGTGAGCTGCCTGGTCCCTGGGGTGGCGTGTGTTTAATTTATTTGTCTGTTTTTTGTAAGAGACGAAGTACAAGTTGCCTTGAAATTGTTATCTAAAAGTTGCCAACCTAATGGTTTCCAAAAAGCTACAATTTCAAATGGTTCACAAAGAGGCTTGGTACAGGAAGGCTTACAGATATTTAATATTAATAAGCTCCCTCAGGATTTAACAAAGACGGCAGAATTTCTGGGCAGCAACTGCTGTTCCTGTATGTACATCTATATAAATAGATTAGAATCAATTGTATGTATGTTTTAATGTTATGCATTTCTTGTGTGTTGATTTTTTTTTCCTAATGAAACACCAATAGAATTGAGCAGCAAGCTCCATTGTTGGTTCTGGTTTTAATTTGTGTGTCCTTGTCCATGGTATTTAATATCTGTGCTTAAGCCTATCCTGCCCATCAACTCAGTCAGTAATGGGCATCTGCTCCACAGGCCCTTCTTGTAGCTTAGCTTCATAAAGTGTTTAAGTGACCTTGAGATCCTCTGGCCAATGGTCCTAAAATAACACAAGATGCTCTTTGAATATGCCTGCTTCCTTTAACATTCCCTACTTGCCAGCATCTAGTCTGGCTTTTATCTCTGGTTCTTCTTTGTTTTCACAGGAAGAGGCACTTAACTCACAGTGTAGGGCCAGACACCAAGTCCTAGTGGCTTATAAGTGGCAGAGGAGGGATTGATTGGTTCCAGGGTGGATGGTGGATACCAGAAAGACTGAAGATAGAAGGCTATGGGAAGAATTCAATAGATGGTTAATGTTTGAAGGGGAAGAGTGACTCTAACAGCAAAATACTGGAAAGGTTGCAGAAGACAATGTTGTTAACAGTGGGAAGTTATTTGAGTTAAAAGCTAAAATCTGGTCCTAAAGTCTGTCAGGATCTATTTAAAGGGTTCCAGATGCATCCTGTTGCAGTTGGAGGCTGTGGATGTGCTGAATTGGTCTGGAGAGTCCTTAAGCTTAAGATCAGTGTAGGAATCTCCAAAACACTGAAAAATAACATTTGAATAGTTGTGAGGTGTTAACATACAGCTCATGTATTTAAAAAAGAAAAAAATATTACTTAATGTCAGGGAAATTTCTCCAATTCATTTGTGGAGAAAAATTTAGAGAATCACTGTCCCAAATGATGAAAGTCTGCATGTTTGAATTACTTGGTGGCTTGCTAGGCTGAGACCCCCGTCTCAATCTGTAGGACCCTTAGCTTCTTTACATTGCCTGCTTTGTGTCTGCTCTCCCTAGGACATGGAAGAATGCCCAGCTGGGAGAAGCTATGATTGAGAGCCTGGAAGCCCAAGGACTGCAGCTGGCCAAGGAGAAACAGGAGTATTTAGGTAGGAAACTCTTACTTCCAAAAGCCGTAAACCCCAAAATAGCCATTTTGCTTTTCCTGGAGTTGTCAGTGTGGTCAAGCCTAGCAGCTACAGGTTTTTACTGTACAAAACCTGTTTTTACAGGTTTGACTGTTACTGGATGAAGCTTTTGAGTAGTCAGCAGCTGAAATTCAGGTTTGAAGGGGGTCAAAACATAAAATGGTTAAGGCAGGATTTGGACATCTGTTTGGAGTGTGAAAACAAGAATGTGCTTTGGCCAACCTGCTGCAGTCTCGTGGCTGGTCTGTACAAATGTTTGCTGCCCATGAGATATTTGGATGTGCTGGTTTCAGCTGCTTACCAGGCAAATAGCCAATACCTTTGTCTCCCTGAATCACACAGGACTGACACTTCTGAGACTGATCACAGCTTTTCTTGCATGGGTTTTCTTCAACTAGCTGGGGGTTTTTTTGGTCTTACTCTATTTGATCTTTGTGTTTGCTCACACTGTTCGTATTGAAAGTGGGAGCATTTACATGGGCTTGCTTGAGGTGTCTAATGGCAGTGGCTAATTTGTCAGTGCTGTCTCCATGGACAGTGCAGAGAGAACAGTTTGTCCAGATGAACATAGAATAATGTAGGTGGAAAGAGACTTCTGTAGGTTATCTAGTCCAATCCCCTTGAAGATTCTGGATGGCAATACCTTGGATGCTATGACTGCCTTGGGAGGTCCAGCTGTCTCTTCCCTGCACTGACCATAGCAAGAGCCAAGGGAGAGTAGCCATTTTAACCCAGATGCCCTCCATGTTAGAGCATTCGAAGAGCCCTTCTATCTGGGGGCTGCTGGTCATGTGTGGGCCCAGTGACTTGTCTGGACAGTCATCTGCTTTAAACAAGCTGGCAGCAATTTGGGTGCTTCAGGTCAGTGATGCCTTGAGCAGAGGCTCATAGTATCTACTCCTAATCACCAAGGTACTGAAGGAATCTTGAAGAGCTTTTTGCACTTTTGCATCCATGATGATCTCACATGCAACAGTGATAATAATTCAAGTATCAAGGCATGTTCATTCTGGCCATCTAAGCTCCATTCACACATACGAGTTGATGGATGGGCTTGTATGTGAGGCAGGGAGGGAGGAGCAGCTCCATGTCTGACAAAGGGATAATGGGGAGTGCTTAAAGGAGGACCTGGAGGGGCAGGAATGGGAGGAAGATTAGAAACAGGAAAACTTTGTCAAAACATTATTTTGCAACCACCAGAGCAGACTACAGAGCCTAAAAGACTGAAGAGGTCTTTAGTACGATAAAAGACAAAGTGATGGAGGAATAGAAGAATATACATTCTGTGGCAAACAGGAGATATTTGGAATATAAAATATATATTTCACTGGGTTCTTTGGTCCGTGACAGGAACATTCAGAGCTGGTCAATTGTCACAGTTGGTTACTTTCTTTTGACAGCAACTGTCTATTTCAATATAACTACTGAGGCTTCTGCCTCATTAGCCTTACCTTCAATGATCTGTGTCCATCCTCTAGTTAAAACTTTGAGGTCAGACACTGTTCCTGGCAGGAGGTCAAGGTTCTCTGGAGGAAGCAAACACTGCTCAGGGGAATTCCCTGAATCCACACTGAGTGGATCCCACCTTCCTTCCACCTGGTTAGGATCCAGGTTTCACTCTCAGACATGGACTTTACAGAGGGCCATCAAGTCCAGGGCTTGGGCCCCCTAAGAGGGGCAGAAGGGGGAAGGTGGAAGAGCCTCTGTGTAATTACAGTGCATCTGTGCTGGGTCCTGCCCAGGAGAAAGAGGTCAAGAGTGGAAAGGAAAGGCAGCAGTGGTGGTCAGCAGAGCTTTGGTAATGTAACACTATTTCTCTGGCAGCGGGAGCCCTGCTGTGGGCAGGAGGTGAAATCTGTGTTCCTCCTAGCAGTAGTACTCCGCCAGCGGTAGTAATCTCATCAGGTCTCCAGTACCAGGGAAATCAGTAGCATCCCACTCACCTGATATGGGGAAAATTTAATCTAAAACTGCTACAGTGAATCTGCCCTGCTCACATGGCAGCTTGGTGGCAGAGCTGAGAGCTAAACCTTAGGCTTAACTGTGAGGAGTGTGTTTCTGTCTAACTTCCTGTAAGTGTGACCAAGAGCTGCCTGAGGGAGAGCCTTTGAGGTTAGGGCATAGCACAACAGCAGGCTGCAGGGTAAGGAGCAGAGCAAGGCCTCTAGTGGGTGTGTATCTTCAGTAGACAAGAGCAGCTGATGTTGAGGGGAACTGCTCTGTATAGCAAAACTTTTGTGGCTAGGTTAGGAGATTGATTTCTGGCCTTGGCTGGAACATCCTAAGGTGACAATAGGGAGCTGGCAGTGATACCCAGAGGGCTAAGGAGTAAGGAGAGGATGATGTGCTAGGCAGGTGGGGATGAGGCACTGAGCTGCAGGAGAACTGACTGCTGGTACCTGGTGTGTGACCCTGTGCGCCCACTTAACCTTTCTGTGCCTTTGTTTCCTCATCTGTGAAACAGAGATAAGAATATTTTTCTGACTCAGCTAGAGGATAGTGGAGGTCAGTTCATTAATGTTCTTTAAGAGCATTGAGAGGAAACCTTAGAAGGAGTACACAGCAATGTGGTTGTTTAGTTTATTCAGTTATTTGGCAGGATGAAGTTACAGAACATCCCATTACGTGCCATCTTAGACTTTGGAGCCTCTCAGACAGATGCACACAAAGGAATAGGGAATGCTTCAGAAAGTCAGTGTTTCATGTTTGTAAATATCCCCAGGATATAAAATGCTTTTCTCTGTGCTTTCTCTGGCCTTTGTTTGTGTGCTTGCAGATAAACTAATGGAGGAAACAGAAGAGCTATGTCTGCAAAGGGAGCAAAAAGAGGTGAGTGTTCATCCCAAGCCAATTTCCTTTAAATTCCATGTGGCAGGAGTGGGATTTTGGGAGTTGCTGGTTTGAAGGCATGTCAGGGTTCAGGGAGAGGGGCTTGTGGAGCCACAAGAGTCTCCAGTCAAACTCTGGACCCCGTGGATGAAGAGAGGAATAAGATTTGTGCCATGAGATGGGTCTTGGAGGTGTACCCTTGCTCCCTTTCCCTGTTATTTTCCATGCAGCGTGCTTGTGATTATATCTGCAGGAGGACCAGGGAGGAAAATGAAATGAAATTCATATTCACTGGATTGAATGACACAATTGTTATTTGGCAGAGAAGACTCTGGCAATCAAGACTTGTCTCCACAGTTAGAAAGCAAATAAACAGACCTGACATGGTTCCAGTGTAGAGATACTGTTGTAAGAAACAAGGAGCAGAAAAAGCAACATGGTTTGTTTTTCGGACACACCAGAGATGGGGAGAATAATAAATATTGCACGAGAGAAAAATCAAGAGAGCACCCCCTAAGAGGTGACTATGATACCTTAATTTATCTTAGAATCATAGAATGGTTTGGGTTGGAAGGGGCCTTAAAGATCACCTAGTTCCAGCCTCCCTGCCACGGGCAGGGACATCTTTCACCAAACGAGGCTGCTTTATCAAGTTTATAATTGCTTTCCAACAAGACACGTGTCTTGTCGATACCACCTAAGGAGTCTTTCTGCTGTGCCTTTTGCAGCCGGACTTGTCTGTCCCTCATTGGCCTTTTTAGTCACCAGCGCGCTTGTAGGAAATGTGGGTAGAGCCCTTCCCAAATCTTCGTTCGCGAAGCCTAGCCATGAGATGAGATGAGAATTGTTTTCCAAACTATTCCTAACTTATGGTTGCTTAATATAGTGAGAGTAGCTCATTCTCACATTTCCAGCAAAACGATACTGATTTTTATAGCACCATCATGAAGTCATTGCAAGATAGCTGTGCAAATGGATTGTCTTATTACACAGTAGAAAAGTCTGCATGGATGTAGAATACCATGTTACAACCTTGCAAAGTGCCTCATGTTCTATTCCAGTTAATCCAAAACAACCATTGCCCCTCTTTAGGAAAAGATGGCAATGCTGACCTTGGCTTCTCAGGCCTATATATTTCTTGCATACATTCTTGGAGAGCTAAAATCCAAAGATAGCTTGGACTCTCCTTTAGGGCTAAGCTACTTCTGCCTTTACAGGGAGACATCCCTTTCTGGTGAAGTAGCCTGCTGCACAGCCCACAGCCATGGGGAGGGAAATGCCCTTGTCTGAAGATCCTGGAACAAATCTCTGCTATTAAAAAGCCATGCACAGTAACTCCATTGCCCACAAAGAGCAGATGGGACCAGGTTAGTCTGAAGGAGTTTGGTACTGTGAAGAACTTAATGTAGAGCTCACTGAGCTGTGGCAGTCTGACCTGTTGAGAGCCTGAAGGCTCCAGAGAAGTATGCTGGGAAGGAAGCTTGAACCATGTGTCTGCACCATGGAGCGAGACGCTTAATATTAATTTATTCAGTGTCAGTGCTGTTTTGTGACTAGCCTGGGCCTGCAACAGGAGTTGTGCTTAGCAGCTATAGCTGCAAAGGGACCTATCAGGGACCAGGACCCTTGCTGTATTTTGTCCCTGTCTTTCTCCATCTGCAGTAGGTCTCAGTACAACTGCTGCCTCTAGACTAGGGGAAGAGGCTGTTTCACTGCTTGAGGACAACTTGTATTTTGTGCTCTTTAAGTATGGTTTTATCAGCACAAAGATAGTGACAGGCTGATTAAACTGTGCAAAGCTGTAACTGAACAGTTTGTGTTTTCCTGCCCCAGTGGGGGTGGAGAGCAAGGCAGAGCTAGTAGAAAAATCACACTTCAGGCACAGCAATTCCGGGGCTGTCACACTCCTTCAGGACTATCTGTACCTTAACATGTGGGTGCCTGGAAATGGTACATACACGTGGAGTCCAGCATTCCCAGGGACCTTCTGTATATATGCATCAGAGCTGACCTGTGCAGAGAGCATGTCTGGGATTTTCGTGTGCTTGGTAACCTGGCTGGGGCTTATGGATGTCTGAAAATCCTCAACTTACTTCAAATCCCTTCTAATTGCTCCTGGACAAAAGTGTGGTGTGATCAGACACCTTGTGGCTCTACATAGCTGGGGTTAAATGCCAGGTTTAAAGTCCCAGGCACTGTTAACAGGGAAGCCTAGCCTAACCGTGTAGGCAGAGTACATTCCTGTCTTCTCTTCTGGGCCAGGAACTCGAGCGCCTGAACCAGATGCTGGAAGCAGAGAAGCAGCAGTTTGAAGAGGTGGTGCGGGAGCTGCGGCTGGAGCAGGAGGAGATCAGACGGTAAGGCAGCAGACTGTGCAGGGCAGGAAAAGGACACCAACTCCCATACCAGACAAAAGTGCCACTGTCGTGGTGAATCAAAACAGTTTGTAAAATCTACCTATTTTTGTGTGTGTAGGAAGGAGAATAGATGCTATATTGACCAAAACAGGAATGGTTGTGGGCTGTTTACCTGCATTTGCTATTGCTTGTGTGACCAATAGAATACAGCTTAGTTTCATTTTGCATTCAGGGCTCCAGCAATTTATTTTCAAAGGGCTTGGACATCAGCAAACCCCAGATTGGTTGGGGAAGCGTGGCAATGGAGGTGCTAGAGAGGATTTCAAAGAGGCAATTACTTTGATTGGCTGACCAGCCCTGTGGGGTCCAGACATATGGATCTGGTTTTCCACCATCAGCTAAATGACAATGGGTGGATGATGATGTTGCCTCACCAAGAATTGTTTTGTTATTTTAAGAATTACACTATGCAAAATGTAACCAGAGAACGTATTTAGAAAGAGAAGGATCAAAATGCTTTGCCCTGAGTGTTGAAAGGGCTGTTTAGCCATTGCCCTCTTTTTTTTTTTGTTTTCCTTTTCTCTCCCTAAATAACATCTCGGTGTGATTTTGCAAACCATTTTTGTTTTCATAGACCTACCTCTGCTTAAATATGACTGTCCTTGCTAGAGACAGTTCGGTTTGGTTTGATGATGAGGAGGCACAGTAAAGTTCCTGAATGCCCATAGTGTGTTCAAGGCAGGATGTGATGCTTCCTGACAAACTCCTGACTCTCCAGGACTGCCTTCACCAAGAGATCCACAGCCCGCGCAGTCTGAGCGTGGTCTCTGGGGCTAGTGTTCCACTGCAATAGCTGTTCCCCCTTTTTGCTTCTTTAGGGAGCTAGAGCTCACAGCCCGCTCCCTTAAAGGAGTGGAGGAAGAAAAGAAAGAGTTGCGAAGCCTGACGCAGTCCTTACAGAACACCCTGGAGGTGAGTGACCACTTCTCACCTCTGAGTGACAGCATTTTAGTGTGCTATGGAATGAATCTAATATCTGCTAGCGCCAAAGTTAAGTCCTGTACAGATGAACAGGTTCATTTGGTAGCTGGTATGAATGCCAAAATCCCCCATGGAAAAGGATGAGAAGTGATACAGAGCCCAGCAGAAGCAAAATTTTCTCAGTCATAGCAGGTGAACCATAGCAGAAAAACCAAAAGTTGCAGTTTGGGAAGCTCAGGTTGAACACTAGGGAGAGAATTTTCACTGGATGGATAGGCAGGCAGTGGGAGAGCCTGAGGAAGCTTCATCGTGGAAGGTTTTCACAACTGGACTGTAGAAAGCCACATCTGACCATATCCTGCTGTGCTGGCAGACCAGCTCTGAACAGGAGGTTGGACTTGAGCCTGCTGGAGGGTGCCTTCCAGCCAACATGGCTGTAAGTCATGCACTTTTTTTTTTTAAACTGCAACTCCCTAAGTTCTGGTGGAAATTGGAGCGGGAGAAAGGCATTCCTTGTTTGCAGAAGAGAGCATGGTGTTCCCAAGGAATCCTGTACCACATGGGAATATAGGAAAAGGAATATTGATGTATTAAAATCTTTCCTTACTTGGTATCACTCTGGTGGATTTGTGGAAAGTGTCTTTTCTAAATGCACATTGTTTGTGAGATTTTCATACAGCCAGCCTTTGGAAGCCTCAAGGTCATTCTTAATGTTTGTGTCAGATGCTGCAAGTTTGTCCAAAAATCTGTTCCTTTGAGCTCTTCTCCTTGCCTGAAGTTATGGGAATGAAAAAAGAACTGGAAAGATAGTGAAGGACTGTTCATGCTCTAGTTGCACACTGAACCAAACACTTCACAGGCAAACAGCATGATATGTCTTATTGCCCTGCAGTTAGAAGTACCACAGAGGGGATGCCTCCAGTTCCCATTGAGGAGCAAGCCAAGCTGGGGAAGGCAGGGAAGCGGGCTGCATCTGTGATGCACTAGGGAATCACAAGGCTCCAGTCCCTGAATTGTGTCCTTACTGGCATATCACATAAAAGGAGCCTGCAGGTTCTCTCCCCCTTCATAGCAAAGGCTGTGGTGGAGGCTTGCTCCTCATGAGTCAGGTACAAAATGAAAACCTAATTTTGTTATTTGTGTTTTTAACCTGAATGAGGCATGTAAGGGTGGAGGGACTCAATAGGGAAGAGCCAGGCAGGAACAGGAGCAGAAACATTAGACTTAGCTGATATTCACAATCTCTGTCCTTCTTCAAGGAGCTCTCCCTGGAAAAGCAGCAAATGCTGGAGATGCTGGAAGAAAATGAGAGCCAGGTCCCACCTCCAACCAGCCCCAGCAAAGAGCAAAGCCCCATCTGGGGACTGCACTGCAGCCTGCGACAGATTGAAGAGAAGATGCAGCAACTTCTGCAGGAGAAACTCCTGGCAGAGAAGAGGTGAAGTGGGGGCAGGGGTTCTTGAGGTGGTATCAGGAACAAGATGTGATCCAGTGTGAGGAGGGTGGTGTGAAAAGAGGTAGTTTTGCCCCTTGCAGGTGGGAGGCATGGGGTTGTGGCTAAATATTTGCAGGCTTAAAATATCACTTCAAAACAGTTTCCCTGTTTATCCTGAGACCTGCAGAGAGCCAAGATCCTTTATAATTTCCATTCTTGGGTGTGGTAAAGGGAAGAGGGCACTTCTGCCCTGCTCAGGCTTAGGGATGCCAAATGATGTGACTGTCTGCTGACTTGCTTTTTCGTTGCCAACACAAGACAAGTCTGGAAGATTGTCTGGTTCCCATGGCAGGAGTTTAGGGTACAAACACTACAAAGGAGACAGAATGAGGCAGGGCTGCTGAACTTCTTGCTCCCGGTTGGGCCTTCTCCTTTCAAACCAGGATTTGGACACGTGAAGGTGTTCATGGCCTGTCCCTAAGGAGTGTTTGGTGCTTCTGGGCCTCATCAGGGGGTTGAGAGTGTTCGATTCTAGAACTGTCCACCTGGCTTTCTCCAGCAATGCCTGTATTGTTGGAGTGAAGCACAGACAGTGCTCCTGTTAGCACCTCTTTGCTCAGGACAGCCAGATAGTTAAGCATGCCCAATCACGATACTGAGCCTCTTTCCTTCCTGTCAGTTGTGCTGGGGTGGGAATGGTCATCTTTCTTTGCTGTGCCATGCATCAGAATGAAGGAGAATGAGGAGCGGTCCCGAGCACTGGAGGAGGAGCGGGAGTTTTACTCTTCCCAGTCACAAGCACTGCAGAACTCACTGTCGGAGCTGACTGCAGAGAAACAGCAGGCAGAGAGAGACCTCAAGGTATTCCCTGCAAATGTTGTATATTGCTGTCCCTGGGCCTAAAGTGCTCTCATTTTCCTTCTCAGTTCATCCCCCATCAAGCCAAACTCTTTGTTTTATTTCGTTTTCATGTTGTGATTACAAATCTTCATTTGCTGTGCTTCCTATTGCCAACCGTATCCTGGGCTGCATCAAAAGCATCAAGACCAGTAGATTCTGCCCCTCTACTCTGCCCTTGTGAGACCCTACCTGGAGTACTGCATCCAGTTCTGGGGTCCTCAGCACAGGAAGGACATGGATGTGTTGCAATGAGTCCAGAGGAGGATCACAAAGATCATCAGAGGACTGGAGCACCTCTTCTGTGAAGACAAGCTGAGAGACCTTGGGTTGTTTAGGCTGGATAAGAGAAGGCTCTGAGAAGGAAACCTTACAGCACCTTCCAGTACCTAAAAGAGGCTACAAGAGAGCTGGAGAGGGAATTTTTACAAGGATATGTGGTGATAGGACAAGAGGAATTGGCTTAAAACTGAAAGAGGAGAGGTTTAGATTAGATATTAGGAAGAAATTTTTTACTGTGAGGGTGATGAGGCACTGGAACAGGTTGCCCAGAGAAGTTGTGGATGCCCCATCCCTGGAAATGTTCAGGACCAGGTTGTATGGGGCTTTGAGCAGTGTGGTCTAGTGAAAGCTGTCACTGTCCACAGCAGAGGGGTTGGAACTAGATGATCTTTAAGGTCTCTTCCAATCCAAAACGCTCTGTGACACCATCATAACACATGAAGTTGCCATGTCGTATCTATGTAGCACTACTATTTATTTTCTCATTCTGAAGCCTGATTAAACTGTTTAGTGCAAGTCTTTTAGTTTGCTACTATGAAATCATTGTCTAAAGATGAAGGGAAGAAAAAAGTAAAAGAATAAAGTAGACACAAAAAAGAATAAAGATTATTTCAAAGAAATGTTACCATGGACATTGCAGAACTGAGCAGATATCTTCCCTCCTCACTTGTGCTCAGAAAATCAATCTTAAGATGTGTAAATCTTCAGTAACCTCTGCAAGAACTTGAGTTGAAAAGCAGAGGAACGCAGCTGAGGTACCAGCCCTCCTTTGTAACAGAGGATACTTTGTCCAATTACCTTTGCATAGATTAATACACGATATTTTATTTAAATCTAAATAATATAAAGGTTATGTTTATTGTTGGCTGTTTGACACTCAACCTGCTTATACAAATATTTTATCCAAAAAAACCCCAGTTCTTCTTTTTCCTGCATTTCCAATATTTTTTTTTATCCCGTATCCTTCCACTTGGCCAAACAGAAGCTAAGTTGACCTAAGCTGTATTAGTCATTCTCATTTGCTAAGCTACTACTTCAGTTCTAAATTTCCTTGTGTTTTGTTCCTGAAACTCAGTACTGTACATCCCTTTGTGAGAACTGACTGCCTCTATCTCAAGTCCATCTCAGCTGGAATTATGTCCTCCCTTTCCTGCTCATCTGTAAATACTTGCATTAGCACAAATTCATGTGTTGAAATACCATCTCTGATTCCATATGGTTTATACAATGGGAGGAAAACTTCAGAAAATGAAAGTCAAAGTAAAGGAGAATTACTAAAATAGTCTGTACTTCAGATTCCGACTGAAGACATGAGGAACAACTTTTATGTTATCCTACAATATTTCTAAAGATTTTCATCACTGTTGTCTTTTTGTTTTCAACCATGGTGAGTCCCTCACAGACCTCGTGGGTTACCAGGATGATTATTGAGACACAAGCCAGTTTCCAGCAATTCTTTTTCTCTTCCTCAGGCTGAGGTGAAGGTACGCATGGATCTGGAGAAGAGACTGAGAGAAGCTGAGGAAGCATTGCAGAGCTTGGAGCAAGGCTTAAATTCTCTGCATTGCAACAAGGAGAAAGAGGAAAAGATGAAAGCAGATGTCAGTAACTTGAGAAGTAAGTCAGTCATCCATCCTCTCTCCTGATAAGCAAAGTCTGAGAGAGAAAATATTTCTACCCATCTTTCCAGACACACAAAGAAGATCCTCAGTGCACATAATGTGCTCTTCCAACTTCTTGTACCTCCACCACACCTCCCATTTGAGGAGCCATAATGTGCTATGTGGGCACTTGGTATTTTGCCCTCAAAGGAGGGTGAAATTATCCCAGCCTTCTTTGTTGGGTGCAAGACAAACCTAAAGGTAGAGATGATCAAATGCTTTCCAAAATGTCAAAGGGAAGCTGTGGCAGAGCTATGAAGACTGACTAGGCCTGAGTTAAAGAGTCTTCTGATTCCCCTCAAGACATTATTTTCTCAGCCTTGGTTACAACAACATCAGTTTAAGGAGGACTGTGGTTGCTGTACCAACGTGCTGGTAGGTGACCCAGCAGGTGAAGTTTGGATCCTTACTTGGACCTGAATTACAGCATCAGCACTGCTGTGCTGAGACAGCTGCAGTCTACAGGTCAGGTGTAAGACTCATGTCCTCACAGGTTAACCTTATTTCCTTGCCCTTTTTGTGTTTATTTGGGTTGGAGATTTTTGGGTATTTTGGAGGGGCATTTCCCTAGCATTTGGCTTGAGTTGGGTCTGGGAACTGACATTAGCAGCTTCAGTTGTATGAAGTCTTTCTTATTTTCCATCCTCAAGTATAGTTCAGAGGGAAAAGGTTGTGAAGATGCTGTATTTGTACAGTTAAGGCTTCATTTCAGTGAAGGGTGGATGTACTGGGCCAATACAGAAAAGTCAAAAAGTCCTGTGGCATTCTGAGCGCAGTTTACGTAGAAAGAATAAAAAGAAGAATAAGAAAAAAATAAATACATGTATTAATACTTTTATATCTATTCACATATCTATACATTTTATATATTTAAATAAAATAAATATTATTCAGTAGTTTCTACATAAGATTTCTAAACTGAGGAAAACCAACATGATTCTGAACTTCATCCCACTGTCTCAGGGCCATGGTAAGAAAACAGAGCTAAAGTGGATATGTTTATTGAGTTCAGCATTCAAGTAGAGCTGAGCTACCTGCCTGGGGCATAAGTGAGTAACCTCTGGTACTGAATGTTTCCTGACATTTCCAATCTTAAATTTTGGGGGATGTTTTCTTCAAAAGAGTAAAAATGAGCAGAGCACTAGAGAAAATGAGGGACCATCAATGTTTTCCTTAACTTTGGTTAAGATTGCATCAGTCCTTCCAAGTGGTTCCTGCTGCTCTGCCCTGCTCTGCCCTTTCATATAAAAGTTTGGGCACATTAGCACATGATGCCTTTGAACAGCAAGGGGCCAGCGACAGGCAGAAGGACAGCAAGACTGGAATGGCAGAAGAGATGCTGGTTAGACCATAGGAGGGGAAATAGGCCAAGAAAAGCAGCCTGTGTGGCAGATCAGGACAGAATAACATTGTCAGAGTTTGGACGTGGGGCTTTGCTTGGAGCCTATAATGTAAATATCTCTGTGCTATGCTTTTAAGAAATTCCTGGCCATGTATGGCCTGGAGGTGTGTGTCCATGCCAGTGTTGCCAAAACCTCCCTTTCCCAGTTAGACTTGACTGGTTTTAGAAGTCCTTCAAAGAAAGTATGATGAGTGAGGCTTCATACCCTCTGTTGCAAGAGAGTTGAGAAGTTTTATTACAGTATCAGAGGCAGTTGAATCATGAGCAGTTGTGTGAATGATTGATGTGGAATGTTCTGCAGTTTTTTCTAAAATTTGAGTATGCATTTTTTGGGAACCAGAGGTTTTTGTCACTGAAAATGTTCATTTTGATGATGTTCAGGAGCTTCATAGATTGTTGTTTGTGAAGATAATCATTATCTGGCTCAGCCCATTAACAAGTGCAGTCCCTTGTGACTGGTTCATTGCTTGGAGTGTCTGTCCCATCACTCTTACAGTGGTGTCTTTTTCTCAGAGTTCTTTGAAGAGTGCATCCGCAATGCCGAGCTGGAGGCCAAGATGCCTGTGATCATGAAGAACTCCGTGTACATCCACAAGGCTGCCACTCGTCGCATAAAGAGCTGCCGCTTCCGCTGCCGGAGAACCAGTACTTCATGGAATGACAGTAGGTATCAGGCAGCTTTTTAATCTCTATTCTGCAAGAGCAGATACGTGCAGATGGGGCTGACAGAACAGTAAAGTCTCCAAAGATCATCCGTATTTCGTATTCCTTAGTAGTAGAATGGAGCTACAGTGCTACTTGGAGCTTCCTCTCCCAGAGGAGGCACTGAGCCTGTGTACTTGTTGCCTGTTTCTTTATGTATGTTGAAAGCTAACTGCTGTGATGGTTCCAGGCCCCCAAAAAATGCTTAAATGTTACTTCATTGGAATGCTTAATCACAGACTAAGTTAAGTTGGAAGGAACACCTGGACATTGTTGAATCCAATCTGGTGCTCAGAGTGGCTACTTGCAAGGTTAGATTAGGTTCTGTGTAGCACCTCAAATCAGAGGCAGCTGTAAAGAAAAGCGTGTTTCCATGCTGCCAGCATTCTCCTCCTCTGAACACAGTAAGGTAAAGCTGTTAAAGCAAAATGGTTAGCTCATCCCCTGCCAGGTGATCACATGGCTTGTGTGCTCTAGTGAAGCTTTATCTTCAGTTTGTGTCCCTGATGGAGAGTGCTGACCTTTCTATGCTGTTCTTGTTTCAGTGAAGCAGTCCCAGTCCTTCATCTTCTCGCATGCTGAAGCTGAAAACATTGAAGAGCTGAAAGAAGCAGCCAAAAGACTGAGCCGGGACCAGCGCTTCAGGAAAACTATCTATCAAATCATGAGGTCACAAAAGGATTCTGCTTCAGGGGACAAAAAGTGACTCTTCTTGGGAGGGGGCTTCTGAGCTCAACTTGCCATTCAGCTCCGCAAAAGTTATGCCCTTGGGCACTAGGGTCAGAAGGGAGATTTGCCCTTTGGTGGGGAAAGTGGGGTAAAGTTGTGTGTAGGCAATCCCCTCAGTTAGTGGCTTTGCTTTCATTTGAATGCTCCTTGTAGCCTGGCAGGCCTTCTCTACTGATCACTCCAGATCTGTTTGCTTCAGCTGCTTACATTAAGGCGTGTTTTGCCAAGATGCCACAGTCAGTGTTAAAGTAAACCACAGACCATAGGTTAAGAAAGGCCTCTTCTTTCCTTTCCTATCTAGTCTGTCTGCCAAACACAAGTGCTTCTGAGAAAGCCCTTTATCAGCCTATGTTCCAGCTAGTGTAATCTCCCCAGCTGGACACAGCTTACCCCTTTCTGCCTGATCCCCTCTAGGAAAGGGCTCGCTCCATACCCCCAGTCAATCAGCACTTCTGTGGGACACAGGCTGAAAACTGCAGCAGTCCCAGCATCCCAAGCACAGGCAAAAATATCAAACACAGGGCAACTTCTTGTCTTGATGCTACATAATTTCAAGCAAACAGCAGCAACACAAGGTGAAGACAACCTGAGGATGCTGAGGATTTGGCTCCAAGGAGGATCATGTACAGAGAAGAGCTTATAGGTAACTCAGTGGCATGGATGCAAGCTGGAGGGAGGGTTGTGTTGTGTTGACTGTGGGCAGAACATTCTGGGGCCACCTTTGCATATTTTTTGCACTGGGACATCTAGCTGTGTTGGAACAGATATGTGCTGCAAATGTTATTTATAGGCAGCATCAGTGTAGAGAAGCCCTTGACTCAGTCCTGATAGTTTCATCAACACCTCTGTAAAACAAGGTGGAGGGCAGGAAAGTGAGGACTGTCCAGCAACAAAACCCACTACCACTTCAAGAATTAAAAATTGTCAGCAGCAAGCTCCTACAGGGCTGTGGAAGTGGGGAAAGTCACCAGAGGAGAAGGGTTGATGCTGGGTGGAGGAGCATACTGTGAGGGTGTGATGCTCCTGAATGGAGTCACTCTGGTGTGACCAGAGGAAAAGCATTGAAAGCACAGCCTGTACTTTCCATGTCAGTCAGTCACTGACCAGTATCCTTCTGCCAGGCAATGGGAGGTTTTAAAGAAGGCTGACATTTTTGTGATGATTGATAAGTGAAGTGGTAGGAGAAGAGAATTTCCAACCTTCCTTAGCATACCTGATCCTTCTGTGTTGTTTCCACTTGTGCTTGCGTGCTAGAAAGCCACAAATGAATTCTGGCTCCTACAAGGCTGAAGGGCTGTGAGAAAACAATACAGAGCTGGTTTTCCCCTTTATGCTGTTCTCACATCATCTCTAGCTATTTTCCAGTTACAATATCTATATTATATGATGCTGGTAGGGACAGAATAAAGGACAGCCAGGGAATGTATCTGTAATTCAGGCAGTTAGGAAAATCATCTTGTGGGTTGGAATGCAGGACCTTTGTTCTATTACCATCAAAGCCACAATATCAGACCTTACAGAAGTACTGTATGCAGGAGGTAGCCACATCAGGTCTTCCTTAACTGTGCATATTGACAGCAATAAATAAATAAAAGTTATGCTGACACTAGAATGAATTCCTGTGTGTTCTTGATACACTGTCACTGAAATGATGTTAAATTGTCTCTGCAGGAGTTCAAATAAATTCTGACACACATATTTACTGCCAGTGCAATTCCTCTGCTTCACTGAGTTTTTGTGTTACCTGGTGCATGTGAAAAACTTTCACCTTTGCTACCCACTTCCACTTTTAAATGTGTAAAAAATTAAAGCACCAGCCATCTCTCTGTGTAACCAGCAAGGCATGCCCTAAGCCACCTGTGATGAGGTGCTTGCCATCAGTCATTCTTTGCTGCACAGGAATCTACTACCCTGTAAGCTCCAAGCTCCCTGGCAGAGTCAACATGGAGGTGGGTCTATGCACCACAGCAGCTTAATTAAGTGACTCTCTCCTTATTCTGGTTAAAAGGACACAGAAACTATTGATTTCAATGTTATCTGTGTATTTTTAATGCAATGCAGTAACAGGAGGATGGCTTAGGGAGCAACCCACGTCTGCTCAAACAACTTCCACTAGTAATTCTAGGTTAGATTGCTTTCTCCTCCTGGGAAACCTGGGAATGAGATGAGAACTCCCTCGACTGAGAGAGTTGTCTAAATTGTTTTCTTGTGTCTGAGGACAGGAGAAAATATAGGATGGTTTGCACCTCTAAGATTTCACTTCTGAAGTTGCAGAACAGTTAGATTGTGGCCATTCTTCCACCACCTCCATCTTCTGGCTAACATCTGGGAAATTCTCTTCTGTCTTCCCTGTTGTCCCTTTCAGAGACACTTTAAAATTTGTGGACACTGCCAAACGTGAAGCCTTCTGATTCTTCTCTGCATTGTCTTGCCTACTTTTCACAGTGTGAAGAATGGTTCCCATTAAGGTTTAACTAACCAATTTAAGGGTTAATTTCATCCTCCTTGTAAGACACACAGGCTCTTTCAGTCTCTAATGAGATAGAAGGATTCCTGCCCAAGGCCAGGGCTTTGGCAGCTCCCCTGGTGCCCACTGCCCCAAGGCTTTACTCTTGCACAGAAGTAAATGGCAGAGAAAGGAAGGCAACCACAGCCCTATTGCCCCCCCATCTGTGCTGCTTCTAAAGCAGAGAAAGTGGATAAGAAACGGAAATTGCCCTTGGGGTCAGAAGTCAATAGTAAATGGTTGCTGGTGCGTGTTATGCATTGTTGTGCATGGCACATAAGTGACACAGGCTGGTAGCAGTTTTCAGCTACAGAGCATGGCTTTTTTTTTTTTTTTTAGCTCCAGATAGTAGGCAGGCTTTCTGCTTAGGACTTAGTGTAATATTGGCATATCTCTATGGAAATAAGATGATAGTTTTCTGTAGAAACAGTCTGTTTTGAATGCTGTTCAGCGTAGTCACTTCTGGTGGTTACTAGAGGGACAGAAGATGGCTCATGTTGTGTTTAGTAAGGAGAAGTTTGCTCCCAGGAAAGTGGTTATGCTTTGAAAGTCTTGACCAAGGCTGGGGCTTGCCTGGATGATTAGTACTCTTGGTTCTCCCCTGGTGTGCCTGTGAAGGGTGTATTATTTCTAACATCTTCTATCTGGTGCACTTGGCACAAGAACAATTCTGCAGTTTTTCACCTAGTCTTTGTACAATTTTTTACCCACCTAGTCTGAGCATGGCCTTGAATGGGAGAAATGATCAAGCCAGAGGAACTGCTGTGGTTAACTCACCTGAGAATTGGGTCTCAGGTGGACTGTTGGGGTGACAGGTCACCATGAGCTTGGCTACAACGTGTGGTTTGTTGAACAACCTGCAGTGTCTCTTTGTGCCCTGAGATAACATTCCTTTTACCATATTAAGTAACATTTCTTTCTTACCGCAGGCTTAGCTCCGTAGCCAAAATGCAGAAAGATCTGACTGAGTACTCAGTCAGGTCGCTGAGTCCTTTCTGCTCCTTGCAGGATATGCTGTAGGGCTTGAACCAAAATGCATGGTTTTGGTTGTTTGGGTTTTTTTCCCGGTGTTGGCAGATCTGGCACTTCACAGGAAGAAAAATTATAAAGGCCATTTTGTGGGGGTAACAAAGGCACCTTTTTCTAGCTCAGAGGTGTTGCAAATAAACTCAGCAGGATCATGTGTCCTTATTTTGCTGTATCCTGAAAAGCGCAAACTTTGCATTGCTTAAAATAATAAGTGAATTCTGCTTACTCTTCAGTTCTTCTTGACTGCACCCCTGCCTCAAACCTCCCTGTGGAAACCACCCAAGAAGAGAGGAATGTCTTCTAGAGCTGCTGCTCCCATCTGTTTCTTCATCATTAATTTTGGGGGCAGGAGGGAGCTCCTGTTTTCCTGTTCCTCCATACATCAGTGCCTGCCTGCAGGAGATGCAGCCCCTGCTCCTCTGACATGAGGAAAAATAGGTTGTTTTTTGTTGTGGGTTTTTTTCCTAAGTTCTTCAAAACAGAAATAAATATTTTTAGCATCTCCTTCTTAATAAGGAGGCTTGAAAACAAGCTGTTTATGGTGGGTGTATGGCTGGAGGCTTTTGTTAGTCACTGCTGGAAGCACAGCCATGAACAGGGCTATAGCACGTTTGGCAGAGCTCTGTCTTTGGGACAGTTCACAAGCACTCAAGGTCCTTGAGTAACACAGGTAAGCTGTGCTCTTAGGTGCACTCATCTCAGCAGCAATCAAAACAAAACACTAAGAAGGTGGGAATGCTGTGGCTTTTGTAGCAAAGTAGAGAAGCAGGCTTAATGCAAAGATTGCCAAAGATTGATTGGATTACAGCTTGCTTGGGAGGAGCCACTGCTTTAATTTCTCCCTTCTTTTCCTGACTCTGACAGAGGTGCAACATGTGTGCTTGCTGGGGGTGAGGGGAAGGTGAGGAGGCTTCAAGAGGAACGATATTGAAAGGTAGGAGTGCAGCAGGTGTGACTAAAAACTGGAGCACTGCTGATAGTGAGTTGGTGTGTTTAAAAAATAAACAAAGTTTGTTCTGTGGTAAGTGCATTTCAATAACCAAAATATAGCTGTTCTATTTTTCAGTAATAAAAACCTACTTTGGGTCCCAACCAAGGAGTGTAGCCCTAGGTGCTCAGAGAAAAGGGCTATGCGGCTAAGGCCCTTTTTTCCTCTCCCCAGCTTGCATGGGGCATGGCCCAGCCAGGTAATGCAGGGATGTGGCTTACTGTTGTTATTCTTTGTGGGTAGCTGTGTGTATGGAGAGGTGGCTTAGGCAGGGGAGAAGTCAGTCTTTTGATTCTGGAAAGCTTTTGGGTATCTCAGCATTGCCTGGAAGAGGTTGGATATTGCTGTAGCTCTCAACAGATTTGGATGTTCAGAAACTCCTCTAGCCTGGAGCAGAAGCCTTCTAGATCCCTCTCTGATCAAGTATGTAGTACGCCAGAGAGATGCTGCAACCCATGAAGGGATACAGGGAATAGCAGTAAAAGCAGTTTTCTTTCTGCTTCTGCTCCTTCTCTTAAAATTCTCTTGTAGTTTCCTCCCTTTCACAAATACCGGTCAGGTGTGGTCTGATGTGCAACTTATTTTAGATTAAGAGAAAGAATGTGCAGGCAGAGCTGTCTTTTATTCCCGGTATAGGGGGAATGTGGGCTCCAAAATGAGGACAGAAAATTCTCATCCATTCAAAGGTACTACAGATGGGTAAAATAAGTGTGCTTATCACATGTATCAAGCTTGGATGAGGGGGAGTAGTGAGACCCACTGTACTTGAAGCTTGGAGCCAGACTGCAGTAAGGGAAAATTAGTTTGTTTGGAGAAGATGTTTTAGCCCCTTGCTTTGGCTGATGCTGAAGGAGCTAGAAGAGAAGGTGCACACTAAGTCCACTTCTAGTGTGTGGCTGGCTCCTGGTGCTGGCATGGAATTAGATTTGATGGCTGCTCACTACACAGAAAATCCCTCCAGCTGTGACCAACTGCTGCTGCATTACAGCCTTGTTCAAAAGCAGTCATGGTGGTTGTGGCTCCAGGGAGCACTCTCAGACCTGTATGCCCCAAAGGATGTGCATGACACCCCTCTCAACTAAACTCACAGTGACTCAACATCATGGGACTCTTTGGCTTCCCCTTGCAAGTGGGTATGAGCTCAGTTTGCAGCTCTGTGCTGCAACCCAGCAGCAGAGAGCCCTGTGGCCACTGATAGAGCTGCTTCTGCATCTCAGCCTCCCAATGCCTCTGACCTGTTGGATTCCAGCACAATAGGGCAGACCCTGCCACTGAGCTTTTAGCAGCAGAATGGAAGGAGGGTGTTTAACAAGGCAGCCTTACGAAAGGTCACTGGGAGCAGGCGTGGGAGCTATCCCATTCTTTTCCCGAAGAGAGAAGAGCATCTCCTGATTCCCTACTTCTATTGTGCTCGGCTATAAGCATCTAGGTTGGCTCCTAAGTGCAGTGCAGGGAGGATCCAGAGGCTGGATGTCAAGGGACCTGCGCCTTAGCTCTGCTTCATTCCCAGTGCAAGAGAGAAAGGCAACAGAGAACAGTTGCTTTCCAGGTGAATGGGAAAGAAAGAGCAGACCTAGTAGGGAAGAAAAGAATAACTATTGTGGATAGCACCTTGTCAAGGAATGAAGTGTCTTGATTATCTTCTTTTTCTTGTCCAGACAGGAGTTTGCAGGCCTGAAATATGCTTCTGGGCCTTGGTTCTGGTGCATTCCCCATACCAGGAGTTTCAGTCCTGTCTGTACTTAAGAAGGGTCACAAAATTAGCAAACAAACACTGCTTTACACAGCGAATGTACTCTCCTCCCTGCTTATCCAACTCTCCTTAGCTTTGAGCAGGATTGTAAGGGGCAAGCTGGCTTCTCCTTGCCTTCCCCTCCAGCCTGCTCCCTCAGCTTTCTGTTTGTTCTTTGGCTAACTGTGGCTAACTGTATCTCCCTGAGGTGGAAATTAGCATCACCCCGGTGGGCTTTGTGGCACCCAGGAGCCACAGGAGGACAGTTCTGCCCTAGACAGAGGGGAAGCCCACCCTGCCATGGTGGAGCTGGCAGGGCTGCTCTCCTTGAAGAGAGCAAAGGAGGTGAGACATGGCCTCAAAGTTGCTCATGGTTTTCTCGTAACACTGGTTTCCTGTCCAGAAATATTATTCATCCTACTCCAAAGTCTTTCAGACTT